GCCCACTCTCTTAATAAACCAAAGAGAGGTAGGAAATCCTGTGTGTGGGTTAGTGCAAGTTGTGCATCTCTACCATAGAGGATCTTTGTGGAGAACTTGGGTAGCCAGGTGAAAATAATCTTTATAATCATAGTGCTGGGCTTAAAAGAGCACCAGAGCCCTCTTCAGTGCTGGATTCTTACGTGTTGTAGATGCTGTTTTGTTGCTTTCCTCAAGTATTTTTCCTGACGTTTATTGGTTTTGTTTGGTTTTCAGTATTTTTGTATTTTGGAATTTTGCATCTGTTTCCCTTGGACTTTCATTAAAGAATCCAAACTCATCTGTGCCTACTCCTCTCTGCATTTGGGTCCTCAAAACCTCCACGCATCCTGACACAGCCAGTGATATAAAACTAGCTACTTACCACCAGAGTTGCCTTCCATGCTGGTCGTATCTTAACTGGAATTGATAAGAGAATCGTTAAGCGAGCTGACAAACGGTGCCATGGAATTGGAACACACGGATCCCATCCCTATCTGAGATTAAGAGATTAAAGTCCGAATTCTGAGAAAAAAAAGTCAGAAATCTGAGAAAAAGTCTGAATTCTGTTTTATTTTTCAATATTAAACTGAAATACAATTTAAAAATCAGCTAACTTCCGTAGACAGGACCACATCCTGATGTTCTATTACTGAATGATCTGGTTTAACTGTAAAGTGTCTTGAGATGACATGTGTTGTGAATTGGCGCTATATAAATAAAAAACTGAATTATTTAATTATTGAACATATTCACCCAAATCTTAAATGTATTCGCCTTTATTGTAAAACTGATTTGATAGGGATGCATACAACTGGCATTCTAAAGTAGTTAGATCAAACGCCAGAACAGTTCAAGTCTGTTTAATGAATTAAACCAGCTGGGACATCCAGCGTCCAGCAGGCTGAGATGCTTTAAACACCTAAACTAAATAAAATAATGATGAATGCATTAAATTTTCATTTTTGTTTATTATTACTGTATTTACTGTGGCATGGCAAGCAAAAACTGGGCTCAGTTTTTTTATATTATGTAACAAAATTCGGTGGGAACGCAGTTGTTTCTTGTACTCAAAATGATACAGAAAAAAAAGTATTGGTCTAATAGATTTACAGTTTATTTTGGATTTTATTTTATGCGCTGCATAGATTTTATTGTGCGCCGAGAACGCCCCAGCAGTGCGCAATTGCACAAGTGTGCAGCTTTGAGTGAGCATTGGCGCTCATAGTCAACCAATGTTACCATACCAGTTATATAAGGAGGTCAGGCATTGTCTGGGGGCCCCCGTTCAGCTCGGGGCCCTAAGCAACTGCTTGGTTTTCTTGCCTTTGTGCAACAGGCCTGAATAGGGCTGAAATGGACAGGCAAAATAATTTTACCTCCGTTGCACTCAAATTTCCATACGGTACGAAAATAAGATGGGCTATTACAGGTAATACGTTAGTCCAACTAAAGATAACACCATCATCGGTTGTTAAGTTTCAACCTTTTAATCTCTAAAGCACTGGAAACCACGTGACCACTAGTGACGCTCCCTCAGATAGATGGAAGGTTTTCGGAAATGATGGTTGTCAAGCAATGTCAGGGAGGACACTTTTTGGAAATGGAATTTCTTGATTGGCTGTGAATATCAGCTCTAAGGAGAAAGATGGACGTACTATTCAGTTCAGTTTATTTATATAGCGCCAATTCACAACACAAGTCATCTCAAGGTACTTTACAGTTTAATCAGAACATACAGTCAAATTGATTTAAAGTTTTCTATCTAAGGAAAACCAGTTGATTGCATCGAGTCATTGACTCAAATACAATCCCTCACACTAAGCATGCTTGTGGCGACAGTGGGGAAAATTCTATTCTGGATTTTACAGGAAGCCAATGAAGAGAAGCCAGGATAGGAGAGATATTCCGTAAAAATAAAAAAAAATATCCACTGGACTTGGTTTTCAAGATTTGAAGCAATTTCGCCACCTCTCCAGGAAGCTTTCTCAATTTAAATGTATATGGATGGATAGGAGAGATATGATCTCTCTTTTTAATTTTCATCAGAACTCTGGCTGCAGCATTTTGGATCAGCTGAAGGCTTTTAACTACAGTTTGTGGACTTCCTGATAGTAAAGAATTACAATAGTCCAGCCTTGAAGTAACAAATGCATGGACTATTTTCTCAGCATCACCCCTGGACAGGAGATTTCTAATTTTTGCAACATTCCACAGATGAAAGAAGGAAATTCTAGAAACCTCTTTGATATGGGATTTAAATGACAGGTCCTGATCAAAAACAACACCAAGATTTTTTACTTTATTATCTGAAATCAGTTTAATCCCATCCAAATGAAGTGACTGGCTAATTGTTACACGTCTCAACTGGGTTGAAACGATTGCAAAAAATGATATTTCGTTGACATCTTCATTTCTCTTCCTCTCAGAGAGCAAAGCCGGTGAACATAGATAGCTTCAGTGAATGAAGGAACGACCGCTGTGTTCTTCCCCAAGCTCTGTATGAGGGGGGAAAGGGCAGTGCTCCTCACTCTAGAGCCCCTGGTGAAATGCTGTCTACATTTTGGTTCTCTTTTTCCTTTTTTTTTTCTTTGACAGTGTTTCGGTCAAATTTCAGTTTAACACGAAAACCCTTGTGTATATATTACATTGCCATTCACGTAGTTTAAATGGTGGCTTATACTCTAAAACAGATTTCCTCAACTCTTTATAAAATAAAATAAAAAAGTGATGGTTAGAATTTCCCACTTTATGGTGTATCACACCATTAGGTTATTTTTCAAAGACTCTGGTCCAAAGATTATAACTTCTGTTTTGTCTGCATTTAGAAGGAGAAAGTTAAGTCATCCAGGTTTTTATGTCTTCAAGCAATGCCTGTAATTTATGTAATAGGTTAGCTTCATCTGGATTTATAGACAGATATAGCTGGGTATCATCAGAATAAGAGTGAAAATTAATCCACGTTGCATTGTGGGACGTCGCGGTCATATTGACGGCTACGCAAACGTAAACATAGCTCTGACACAACGTTGTTGTTGAAAGAAGAGACGCAGAAGTAGAGAGAAAAAAGATGTCAAAATCCCGAAAAAGATCTGGAATTTACCAGGACACATTAAATAGAGATTGGGAAGCATATATAAAGCGAAGAGAAGTGATCCCACCAGAACATTTTCGCGGATATACACATCCGTTGGCAGGCTTCTGTAAGCTCCCTGGTGGTCTAGTGGTTAGGATTCGGCGCTCTCACCGCCGCGGCCCGGGTTCGATTCCCGGTCAGGGAACACTTTTTTTTTTTCCCTATGCAAGCGATGGAACACTGGTCGTATCTGACCATTGTATCGGAGTTTATCGTGAAACGCATTAGTGGTTGACGAATCTCTTATTCTTCCGTCGCCATAATCGCACAATGATAATCACATATTGCAGGTCATTCTTATGGACGCTATCATCATATCATGTAGCGATATATATATATATATATATATGTGCGTATAAAGAAAACTTTATTCTTGGACACGAGTCTTAACTTGGCAAAGCAAAAAAAGTTCACCTCCTTCGAGCCGGATTCGAACCAGCGACCTAAGGATCTCTGAGATCACACACTACAGTCCTCCGCTCTACCAACTGAGCTATCGAAGGGGCCACGAACAACAATGCGGGCTGTGACGTTTTTAACAGGGGACAGCAATCGGTTCTATGCGTGTGTTTCATCATTACAATACAATACAAATAAAAAACAGAGAACAGAGGTTTAAATTCCAATCGTTCTTTATTTTTTCTCTCGTATTAATCATTCATACTCCAGCATTATTTTTTTTTGCTATATTTAAATTTTTTATGTAATCATGTTTTCATGCTTTCGAACCAGCAACAGTGGTCACGTCTCTCGTCCCACCTTCCCACGCCTCAATAGGCCAATAACCCACACACTTACTGCTGAGCAGAGTAACCTCAGTGGGGATGAGACAACATGGTGGTTTAAAAGAAAAAGAAATCCCATAAAGAATCACACCGATCCTTAGATGCTGCATACAGAGCCGTCACATCTGGTAAGAAACCATGTGATTAAAACTAACCATTAACAGCAAGAAAACCTGCTGAAATCACAACGTCATCATTTCCAAGTCTGTGTGCAGCACCTAAATCAAAGAGTCGAACAAAATGGAGCATTAAAAGCAGATGTCTGTTCACATGTGCTTCCAGCATCAGGACAGGTGATATGTAGACACTATGAGCATCCTTAAACCCACAGAGGAGCATTAACACACAGCTCCGATTTTTACTTAGAAAAAAAATGTATTACAAGTCACTCAGATAAAAGTCTACCATGAAATTCCTTTTCCAAAGAAAAGATGCAAATAGGTTTCATTTCTGTACACAGAGAACAAAAGACGCCGTATTCAGCAATACTGTCTTCGTAAACGAAAAGTAACATAAATCCAGGTTTAATTAATACATAAGATAAATGTACAAAATAAGAAAAAAAGGCATTTCTATAATGTCAATAAAATGCTATTCAAAATAAATGTGTAGCTACTGTTGATAAAAAACTAAAGACATTAGAGTGGAGGGAGTACCATCATTAGGACAATCAGCATCAGGTATAAGACCCAGATAATAAACCCTGATCTCAGACGCTGCGGTGGCAGAGATCCGAGTCACTAACAGAACCTCAGACCCAAACAGATCAGATGAGAGGAATCTTTATATGAGGAAAAAAAGTGCTTCTACTTCTTCATCTGCAGGCGTTCTCATTGGATGAGCTCCAAATATGGCAGCCAATCAGAGGCAGTAGAGTGGAAAATAAAGACTGTAGCTTAGATAATGCTGCATTCAATGTACCTCAGAAAAATTGTATAATTTTCTACCTTTTTAAAATTAATCTGAGATGAAAATAATAATAGAATAATTCACATTCCCCGAGAAATATTAGTCAAACTTCCTTTTTGCTGACATTTTTACAGGAAAACACATCGACTTTACCGTGTCAGAAGTTTCTTATCTCCTGGATGTTTTTAATGCTGTGTCAGGGAGAAAAACAGGTTGCATTTGAGAAACTCTTAATTCATTAAGCTTGGTTCAAAAAACAGAAAAGCCACTATTAAGGGGTCAAAATTCTGACACACTGTGTTCATTGAATGCAGCACTGACAGGATAATTGTTGCTTATAGAACCATTTGGCTCAGCAGAAACCTCTGCAGTTTGTCTCCTCCTAACCCAACACTGTTCACCCTGAGGGGTTTTATTGGCTGTGAATGCACCGTCAGGTGTGGTTAAATCCAAGCACTCAATAAAAAAACAAAAACAGGAGCATCTAGACGCCTGTCTGATTTGACTAAAGAATGATAAGAACATAAATGTGCCTGCGTATCTAAGGTTATCTTCTACAGGCGGCCCAATAGCTCCCAGAAGCTGCAGTCTGGTCTTCAGGTTTTTTTTTCACAATCTTCAGCTCCAGAAGGAGCCTTCAAATCAAAGAGGTAAAGAACGAAATGACGCCAAATGAGGATGAGAGTGAAAACTGGTTTGTTGCAGCAGCTCACTGGCTGAGCTGCAGGACATGGGAGAGCCCACCAGGGGGCGCCCCTCACCACAGGGTGAAATGAACAAAGCCAGTCTTGTCTGTTGGTCCCTCAAGTACCTGAAAGTACCACAAGTTAATTCTACTGCTATCCTAAACTACATTCATACACCATCTTCACTCCTCCTGCTGACCTTTTCCAACTCCTCCTCCCTTTTCTCCTCCTCCTCCATCCTCTTCCCATCATTTCCTTTCAGTTTTTGCTGCTTTTTACCTTCTTTTTATTTCCTTTCATTCAGTAAAGTTAACTTGTTTTCTCCTTGATGTTAGTACCCATTCATTCTCACTCTTGTTATTTAGTACCTAAATCTTTTATTTCATCGGCCTCCTCTTCCTCCTGCCCCCCCATCCTCCTCTCTCTCTGTGCTGGTTTAAAAAACGAACATTGGAGAAAGTTGCATTGAAAGGCTAAGCCAGCACTGACAGCTCTCCTCTCTCTGGAGAATGAGGTCGCCTTCCTCCTCCTTAGTCCTGGGAAAGAGTCTTCCTCAGTCCTCCTGATATTTTTCCATCAGGCCATGTGTCCATCATCACTGCCTCCTCCTCTTCTTCGACTCCTTTAGCTCTTTCACTTTTCTACCAGTGCATCTTCCTCTGTGATGCCCTGAGCACGGAGCTCCTCTAAGACGTTATCCAGGTGACCCGGGTCGGGGAAGCCGTGACCCGTCAGGTTGGAACCAAACTCCGTCTTATGGTGGACCTTAGAGAGAAGAAGCACATCCTGCGTTTAGTTTTCTAGGATGAGCAGTTGGACATTTCAGAGGAATCAGAGGGAGACGTTACCTCGTTCCAGATGACGGTGTCTGATTCTCCTGTGGTGCTTGAAGTACCGACAGAGAAGATGAGCCGGCGGTCCCACGCCACCAGGAGCAGCCTTAGAACCTGCAGACAGGTTGGAGCAAAGCTTTAGCAGAACGAACCAGTTCCAACCAGTTTATCGGTCAATAACCAACACTGAACCAAAACTGGAGGTGCACTGCAGCAGAGGAACCTCATTGTTTTTTTAGTTCATCCAAATAAGTCAATTTATTCCATTCTAGCTAAATGGAAATAAAAAAATAAAAATAAAAAATCACCAGTGAAACTGTAAAAAATTTAAGCTTTTTTCTCAATCTTTTTTTTTTATAACATTATCTTCTTAGATTTTTTTTTTTTGACAGATTTCATATTTTCATAATTTGTACCTAAATTTCTGTTTTTCAGATTTAAGTTTTCACATCCTCTCAGCGGACCAATAAAAATGCTTCTTTGCTCCTCATTCCAGAGGAAAGGCCCCCCAAGAATAAACAGAATGAAAGCTAAAACACAATTTAAAAAGAATAGAATTCATTAAACTAAAATTTAAAAAGAGTAATAAAAAAAAAAAAAGGTTTGAAAAACTTTAATCTAAGAAAATATCAAAAGTTCTCTCATGACGTTTTTTTCATAATTAAATTTCTATTTATTGCACTTGTTCTTTTCACCAATAAAGGATTAATTTCCCTCCACAGATGATCTGCTGGTTGTTTTTTTCTCCCTCATTGCTCTGTTGCAGCTGAGGTCCAGATGGACCCATTTGGACTCTAGCCTCTTTAAGCCCCCGTCACACCTCAACAATTTAGACCAACGGATGCCTGGCATACGGAAAATCAAGCAAAAACGCAGGCATATGTTGGATAAGTTATGGCTACCTTTTGTTTAAGTTATGGGCACGATGAAGCCCACTGGCACACGTCGACATACGTACTTTAGGAAGTTTTGAGCATGCTCAAAATATCCTGAGGTATGCCAGCGTATGCTCATACATGGGGCATAAGTTACAGATAAGTTATCTGATGGTTTACATACGTTCAGTATCAGTTCCTCATCAGTCGTAGCGTCTAGCTTATCCTAAACCTCTGAGTAACTAGTGCGTAACTTCTGCGTAACTTTTCTCCAACTCTATCAACGTATCTGACGTGTTCCAGATGACCGCTGAACGTGTTTCTAACTTCCAGCCACTGTATAATTAGCCTTGTGAGACCATCCTGATCTTGCGAGCTTTCAAGGTTTCACTCGCAGATCAGTCTGGAGACTCTCCGTTAAAGAAAATTTGGAGCCGTTCACCAAACGAACGTCCAATCAGCGTTGGCTTTGAGGCGGGTTGAGGTGTGACGCAACGAGAAGCGTGACAGTTCAGTCTAAAGAACATGGCGGCTTCAGCCGATGAAACTAGCGTTAGCGTGGCTATCGAGCAAGTTTTATTGGAATTACAGAGTATTTCGTCACTGAAAGAAGAGCAAAACACTGCTCTGGAGGCTTTTCTCAGAGGAAAAGATGTTTTTGCTCTCCTCCCGACTGGTTTCGGCAAGAGCAACAAGAGTAGCCGGGCTTGTGGTTGTGTTTTCGTCGTCGCTCTGTTAGTACGTCATATGCATCGTTGATCTGATTGGTTTATTTGGCCCGTCTATCACCAACATAGGCCAATCAGCTAACCAGTATTTTCGCCCCTTCCCAAAATTACTTCAATGGAAGGATATGCGGAGCAAATCCATCTGGCGGAGTCAGGTATAATGGCGTATTGGCAGTGTTTTGGTATAAAGGGGGTTCACAGGAAGAAACCATCAGTTCTCCTCCAGACCTCATCCCCATCATAGGGTGAGCCAGAAGGTGAGAGTGATGGATCCTCCCTGTGTTCACCCCCACCACCAACAAACTTCCTAGTAGACATGATGCTGAATCTGCTGCGACTGTAAACCTTCTTTCTGTCTAATACCGCCACCAAAGACATCTTTTTTTTTTTTACGGCACTAGTGGCTCATTTTTTGGACAGTAGGCTGACAGGGAAGGGGGTATGAGAGAGGGGGAAAGACACAGGTCAGATTTGAACCTGGGTCGGCCGAGTTGAGGACTAAAGTCTCTGTACATGGGTCATGTGCGCTAACCACTGCGCCACCAAAGCATGCCTCCAGGTGCACCTGAGGGGAGCAGCTTTAACTGATGCTTGGTAATGCAACGCTGCAGTGCGTTATGCATAAGTTAGGCTGTAGTTGGCCTTAAGTTTTGGACTCGTTAAGGATACTCTATGTAGACGCCTGTTTAAAGAAATTCAGGTGTGACAGGGTCCTTAGGATCCAGATGGATTCAAACCCAGCCCACATCTTCAGGCTGTTGCTCAGCCTGGTCCTCCTGATGGACGGTGGACCTAAGCTCTGCTCCTCCAGGGTTTTTGGATTTAGCTTCATCCACACAGCGTGATGCTGCCACCACCACTGGATCTACTCTATGACCGAAGGACCCCATGTCCTCTGAGGAGACTTTTCCTCACCTTGCGTCCTCTCTCGCTGTCTGGGAGGTAGCAGTGTCGGGGGAAGCCTCTGGCAGTGAAGGGCTTCCCTGGGTTGGGATGCTCTGGTCCCTGGAGGAGAAGAAGCAGCAGTTAGCCGTTAGCTCCTCCTGAGAGCAGACGTCTCAGAGCAGGCTGTAGCGCGGCCTACCTGAATCCCTGGCGGGATGTTGTAGATGATGCGGATGGTTTTGCAGTCAGGATGACCCGGGAGGGAGTGAGGGATGACGTGGTACTCCATCTTCCCCGCCGGCTGGTTGCCCGTCTTTACGCCGTAGATGGTTTTGCAGGTGGGACACTGCAGGCTGAGACGGAAGCTTTGATTATTGCTCTGTTCGAGCAGGAAGGGAGGAGGAGCTTCAATCCGGGTGTAAACCCACCTGCCGTCCTTGTTGCCGTTGTTGTACATCGCCACCAGACACTGGAAGTGGTACTGGTGTCCACACTGGGCCAGCCGCCCCACCGACTCCGCCTTGGAGACGGGGCCCACGCCCGGACCTTTGTATCCAGACGGGCCTCCCAGCGGCTCCATGCAGATGGTGCAGTCCTGGAGGAGAACACCAGTTATCTCTGTATCCTTTCCACATATTTGGACCAATAATGAACGGCTCTCACCTCCTCTGGAGGACTCTTTACTTTCTGCAGGTACTTCTTCACAACCTCCTCTGGAGTTTTTCCTGCAGGCAGAGAAAAAAAATGGAGGCAGAAGCTGAAAGTCACTGAACAAAGTCATCGTTGAAGTTCCTGAAAGGGCAGTAAAGCTGAAGGGTTTGGCCAAAAATCTAAAGTGTGATTATTTTTGACTAATATTGCAACGTTATTTAGATTTTCCTTTGCACTAACCATAAGTTTGTAGATTTTTATAAACAATAAACCAGGTTTTTTATGACCATGCTGCAAGAAAAATAAGCTACTTCTCCTTGCATGCATGGACTGAATGCTAGCTGTAATTCTCTACCTTTCTCTTAAAGTGCATTCCTGCCCCCTAAAGAGCTGCAGTGACAAATTTAGTGTATTACTCTTGTTAAAAGTAATGCAACCAAAACTGACTGCCAATGCGGTTTGAAAACTGTATTTCATTAAATTGCATTTGTAGTGCAAATACCATTAATAACCCAGCCTTAATGGGCAGCAGATGGTTTTAACTTCAACATGAGGGCAGCTACACTGGCTTCACCAAGAATACTAAAACATGTCACTACGTCACACAACAGATGATAAATCTATTTATATTACTTATTAAAGTAATAATTATATAACAAAACACTAATATATAGAAACATTTAAAACTTTCAATCATTTGGATGCTTTTTACACATGCTAATATAGGTTACATGGTTACAACTAGGGCGGCAACAACGAATCGATAAAATCCATAAAAATCGACTTTTAAAAGCGTTGGCAACGAATTTCATCATCGATTAGTTGTGTCGTGCGATTAATGCGTCATCCGCCGCCGCCATCATCACTGCCACTTGATTGAAACGGGGAAGAAAAAAAAATACCAGCGCCGCAGGTGAGCAAAGGCTGATTTCAAAAGGCATTAACGTCAACTGTTCTAACGTAAGCTGCGTCTCAATTCGCAGACAGCCTGCGCTTTGTAAAGCGAAAAAAGTCGTAACATGCAACTTTTGTAATGCAGCACCTGAAAAGGAAACACATTGGAGCCTTCAATGGCAGTGAAGAGAGCTGATCAGCAGGGTGAGTGACCATGTTTGTTTCGTTTTAAAGTGGGGAAACGTTACGTTAGTTTCTCAGGTAGCTCATTTGATGCTTTCCTTACCATGTTAGTAGGTTACAGACAGTGATAAGGTTGGCTACTTATTTTACTTTTAATTTCATTTGAATTAGCTTAAGCAGCGTTTATATTTTCTTTATAAATA